AGGAGCATGGGCCAGTCCTGGAGGCTGGGGGAGGCTCGGACGAGGGCTCTGCATCGGAGGCAGAGAGGGGGCCAAGGCTGTCTGGTGGTGATCAGTTGCTTACAGAGCTAGAGAACAGTGAGGCAGAGAAACAGCTGGAGCCTGTTCCCAGTGTGCGCCTGCGCAGAGCTGCCAGATTTTGCTGAAAATGTCCGGACCAAACATAATTTCTAATGTTGGATTTTCCCCCTTACCAGAGGGAGCCCCCTTGTGGAGTACTGTGAAGCCGTTACTCTAGCAACGCCACAGTGCTGTACAGGAGAAGCCATTTTGAGGCAGTATGGTAGAAGCCGTTTGAAGGCACAACAAGCTGTATCTTAACAAAGCACACACCCCGAGGAGCTTTAGGGGTGTCTTACCCACACACATTTGTCTCCAGAGAGTAAGTCATCTGTGTACCAAGTTTGGTTGAGATTGCTCAAGGCGTTCCAGAGTTATGCTGGAACACATACACGCATGCGCACGCACACATAGAGCCATTTACATACATACATACATACATACATACATACATACATACATACATACATACATACAAAGATTTCTATGCCTGCCCATCTTAAATAACTCACAATACACTGGATTCTACACTCAGCAAGGGGGTTGGACTAGCTGACCTCTAAGATCCTTTCCAATTCTGGGTTCCAGTTCAGGCATGGTAGGATTTCTAGAGAGGAAAGGAAATCGCAGCTCAGACACTTCTGGGGCTGTACTGAATGGCTGGCCCTTCCTTTTCACACTTGTTCCTTGCCTGTGCTTGCAATTGCAATTAGGCATGATCTCCAACTGGCTTTAATCAAAGTTTGAGACAAACTGAGACAAACTCCCCTGGAGGGTTTTAAGGCAAACTGTGGGAAACATAAACTTCCTTTCTTCCCAGAAAAGGAAGGAGGGGGAACAGAAAATTAATTCTTAGAAAGCCACATTTTTTACAGAAAAATTTCTTTGTGTGTCGCATTTATACAGCTACATATACTCATATACTGGCGATAAAAAACCTAGGGCGCACATCTGCTTTCCAGATTCCCGTCTGCTTCAAAATATCAAGTGGAAGCTTTTTAAACCGAGAAAACCATTAAAAACCCAACCCTTAAAGAGGGATTAAAACTGGCAGGAATGAAACATTTCAAACCCGCAAGAGCTTAATCTAGTTCTCCCTTATCGTACAAAGCCAGAAATAAAACAGCTGGAATGGGACAAATTTTTGTAAAGGGGGAGGCAGGGAGATATGGAAATACATGATCAGTTTGCGGTGCAGGAAAAAAAAACCAATTTTCAGAGCTGTAATTAAAAATAGCACAGAACTGAAACGAAGCAAGCTGCAGATTCTCTCGCTGTTATTTATCTGTTCCGGAAGTGAAAAGGAGGTGAAAGAAAAGAGGACCAAAAAGAGAACCAATTCAGCATACAGGCTGCGTGACAAATTGGACGGTATTTCCATGAAGCAAATCCACTGGGTTTTTTCCCCCTTTACTATTCTGTATAGCTTCAGGGTACAGTACGTTCTCTTTCAAACAGGTGATCCAGCAAACCATCTATTTAATCTGAGAACATCATTTCCCATATTCTACATACCGTTTCCCTGAAAATAAGATCTTCCCAAAAATATTGCAACACAGCAGCAGCCATGCTCCTACACCCCAAAAATAATAAGACCAGATCTCTACTCAAGGCCAATTCAGATATATAATGTAAAAAAGAAAGAAAGAAAAGAACAAGAGCATTATAGGTAGTCCTCGATTTATAACAAGTTTGTTTAGTGACCATTACAAGTTATAACGGCACTGAAAACGATAATGACTAAAAACATGATTGTTTAGAAAGTTGACCAAAAAAACCATGTGCTTTTCTTCCTGGAAAATATATTCAGCTGTTCTTTACATTTTCAACATGCTAAACATTAACCAGAGGCTTCTAAGCATATCCTCACAACAATAAGGACTAGAAACATGATTTTTTAGAAAGTTGGGGGGGGGGAACGTGCTTTTCTTCCTGGAAAATGTCTTCAGTCGTTCTTTACATTTTCAACATGCTAAACATTACCCAGAGGCTTCTAAGCATATCCAGACAACAAAAAGGACTAGAAACATAATTCTCTAGAAGTTGAGGGGGGAGAAACCATCTGGCTTTCTTCCTTCCACCCACACATTTAACACAATCTAACACAATTTAGACATCATCACCCAGAACTTACCTCTTAAGATAGAGCTTGCAATCTTTTGCTGTTTTAAGGCTTCCACAGATGACACAGCCTGTTGCAGATTTCGGTTAAAACTTCAGTTTACATCCCCCTAAAAGATGGGGAAAAGAGAGGTTCAGAAGGGACACCCTTGGGCTTAGGAAAGCAGCAATCTTTTGGAAAGGACCTGCATTCCAAAACAGGAGGCAAGGCAAGATGGATGGATGGATTCCTTGAAAATAAAACCTAACTGGAAAATAAAACTTAGCATGGTTTTCCAGGATGCTTGTAATATAAGCTCCAAAATAAGCCCCCGATTGTCAGCCAGATGGATGCATTTAGTACCGTATTTTCCCAAAAATAAGCCCTAACCAGAAAATAAGCCCTAATGTGTCTTATGCAAAAATTAATATGACTGAAAAACTAACCCATGGATTTGATATAACACAAAGTTCTCTGGGCAGCAACAAATAGAAAGTGGGAGCTTTTGCAGCAGGTTAGATTGAGTTTGCAAAGTCGGGTGTGTTTTTATTTACGGCTGGATGCATCTATTCAGCAACTTGGCTCTGCGTCTGTATCTGAGCCTGGAGTTTCTCTGCTTTTTTCAATTATTGATGGCTGATCATCTTAGCATTTTCATGCAACGTTGTTGCCTCTATGCTGGCGTGTAAAGCAGTTCAAAAGAAGCCCAGCCCCACAGCACAAGAATGGCAAGCAGTTTCCACAAAGCAGGGGGGCGATCGTAACCAGGTTGACACATTCGGCAAAAATAAAGAGATTTTGCAGGCGTTTTCTCTGCATCTTCCCACCTTGGTTGGGAAACTTGAGGACTAGTTTTTGGACGGGAGACCACAAGGAAATCCAGAGGTTGGGGGATTAAGGCCATGGCGTTAAAAGCCCAAGGTTTTTTTTTTTTAACTTTGCTGTCCCCTATCAGAGGACGAAGCATTCCTTCGGGAAGATCAGTCATCTTTAGCTCCCACAATTTGTTTCGAGCAAAAAAAAAAAAAAAGAGATTTGCTGAGATAAAACTAGCTCACACATCAGCTACCGAGGCTGCAATTTAAGCTGACAACGTTGCAAGCAATCAAATCAAATCTCTTGTGGTTTTTACTTTTAGGTGGAATAACAACAACAACTCTGCTCCTTCTCTGTCACATATTTTTAATCTCTCTCTTTCTACCAGTGGAGTTCACGAGAGGCGATTTTAGAAAGCTCGTCAAAATTTCAGAAGAAAACCTGGAAAGCTCTATCTTGCTCACTTATTGAGGCTGAGCCCTTGACAGATATCACAATATCTGTAACTTTTTCCTATATCGATATACAAAGCAAGACCATTGATACAAGGATAAATTAAAAGGTAAAGGTAAAGGTTCCCCTCGCACATATGCACTAGATGTTCCCCGCTCTAGGGGGTAGTGCTCATCTCTGTTTCAAAGCCGAAGAGCCAGCGCTGTCCGAAGACGTCTCTGTGGTCATGTGGCCGGCATGACTCAACGCCAAAGGCCCACAGAACACTGTTCCCTTCCTACCAAAGGTGCTTCCTATTTTTCTACTTGCGTTTTGAATGTGCTTTCAAACTGCTAGGTTGGAAGAAGCTGGGACAAATAACGGGAGGTCACTCTGTTACACGGCGCTAGGGATTCGAACCACCAACCTTTCTGATCGACAAGCTAAATAAATTATTATTAAGATAAATTATTAGAAAGCCAATTAGCTTTTATGTCAGAAAAAAAAAACAAGCATTTTGGTCCAAAATCTGTTTCTTGCAGCCTAAAAACAAGGAATTACACACACACTCAACAGAGAATCTTAAAATTACCAGCAATAACAATTATGGTGATAGAGATTGCAGTGTATACATATTTTAAATGATGCTTAGGATTGGGAACAACCCCCAAGGGAAGAGGCAGGAAGAAAAAATGGGTGCAGAACGGCCTTCGTATTTCCACCAGTTTATTTTTTTTTAAATCAGTGTGTATTATGTGACTATAAAAAGTGGCAATAAAAATGATATTAGAAAATAACAAAAGAAAACAAACTAGAAATAAATAAATAATACACATACATTTATCTACGTACATACAAATACTGGGAACAAGGTTAATATCGGATTGTATGTAACTATGGATTAGAATGTTAAATACATAGAGCGTTATTGTACAACTATGAACGAGATAGAACTATGACATACAATATCATGTATTTCAAAGAGATTATGCTGAATGTCCATGAGAATAATGGTTATGATCAGGGTGTATAATACCAAGTATATTTAAAAAGGATTTGATACAGCCAGTACACTGTTGTTGCAAAACTGGAAACGTGATGTAGAATAAAGGAAAATGCATAATTTAAAAAAAAAAATGCAAAAAAAATGGAGGGAACCACACTGAACAAATATTATGATGGCATTTTCTCTTTAGTTCTAGGTTGCGTCTCTCCTGTCTTGGGAGTTGGAAGCAGGTCAAGGCATGAGGAGCACGAAGAAACTGAGGAAATTCACCATTAGTTGCAAAAAAAACCAACCATTGTCCTATATCCTGTATGTATCAAGAGCGGGGATTTTCCCAAATAGTTGTTGACTTGACAGCCTTTGTCCGATTCTCTGGCGTGATCCCATTCGGTTTCCGGAGGTTGGCCGAGGTCAATTTTGTGCTGCCATCTGCGATAGGCTAACGCAACCCTGTCAATACGCCAATGAGGGAATTATCCAGATCTTGTATATGGCATTAATTATTGATTTGATTTTTTTTTTTTATCCTGCCTCAATCTCAGGGAAGTTACATCACGGTTAAAAACCTCCACAGAGGTAAGACGACGTACGACCCAAATTGCAGACAGAACCAAAGGGGGTGGGGGGATGACAATAACAGGGCAGGAGATGCGACTAAAAAGTCTTCATTACTGAATGTAGTTTTCATTCATTTAACTTGCTGTGTTCGGTTTTAATCAGAGTGGTGGCAGCTGAGATTTTGCTTTTGACTGTAATTCCTACAAAATAAATAACTTTGGGAGGCGGAACTCCCTGCCACAAGATTGGCATTTCCTAAAGCAATGAAGCAGAACTGCCCCTTTACAAGATTTTTCGGGTTGCCACCAAAACCGCATCAATGTATTCATCTCACCAGAAGTTGAACTGGACTTGAAGGAGACCTTACCCTTATCATTGATATGTATTTATTGAGTTTTATACACCAGATAGGGATGCGGTGGCTCGGTGGCTAAGATGCTGAGCTTGTTGATCAGAAGGTTGGTGGTTTGAATCCCCAACGCCGCGTAACGGAGTGAGCTCCCGTGACTTGTCCCAGCTTCTGCCAACCTAGCAGTTTGAAAGCACGTAAAAAATGCAAGTAGAAAAATAGGAACCACCTTTGGTGGGAAGGGAACAGCGTTCCATGCGCCTTTGGCGTTGAGTCATGCCGGCCACGTGACCACAGAGACGTCTTCGGACAACAGTGGCTCTTCGGCTTTGAAACAGAGATGTGCACCACCCCCTAGAGTCGGGAACGACTAGCACATATATGCAAGGGGAACCTTTACCTATACACCAGAATCATAAGATATCACAGTACTGAAAAGTTAAAGCTGGAAAAAGGCAAGAGAGATTATAAGAGTCCACCTCTTCAACTAATGGTTGTTGTTTTTTTTTAAAGTAAGAAAGCCAAGGAATTTTGCAAGAGACTCGACAGAGCAATACGTGCCATAAACTGAACGCTCACTGATGGGACATTCTTAAGAAATCTATATTCTTCAGCCCTTCAATGTGAGTTTCAG